CAGTAGTAGCACCATATTAGAGCAGCAACTTTACTTAAATGCTAACAGACTCACTCCATAAAAACAGGAAACCTCCTTCAAGCTATAATGGACATTTATTAAGTTTCCCAAACCAAATGACAACGATAATTTTTATTACTATCAAAACACCAAAACAATGATATTATTATTTCCTAATAGCTAAAAATTCTACAAATGATAAAATGTTCTCCATATACATGATCCTTTGACTCTCGCCAGAAAAGCTACTAAAACGCTGTAATTATGATTTGCAAACATGGTCTGGCGCTACTTCTGGGGTATTTGGTGGTATGCCAAGGCGTACTGCCAACGGCTTGGAATATGTCCATCTTTTCCAGACAGCAACATTTACATGAGGCTGAATATTTATTTTAAAAAGGTCAAATTGTTATGTTTTTCCCCAACTGAAATATATAGACAACTCCAACAAGTTTTAGGAAGTTGCACTGGTAGTGGTAGTGGCCAGTGTCTTCTTCCACACACCTAGGGCCGTGTGGCCCTCTCTCCTCCCGGTGAACCCTGGGGACAGGCTTGGCACACCCAGCTCACTGCCTTCCAATCTCAGTTCAAAGACTGGGCATCCTGCCCAGGACACAAAACGTCTACCAAGGAGCATAAGAGTCCCCAGCATGACCACCCATCCCGCTTGCCTCTTTTTCAGGTAAATAATAGATGTAGAATAGTTGGTGTGCTACGTGCTGAAGTCCAGCTCTTTAAATCTAGACTTTCCTGGCTTTTCAGATTTTTGGTAGCAAATAATTTCAACAAATTAACACTTCTGTGTGCGTTAATGTAGCACTCAGACCCGGTGGCACCTATGCACGTTTTCAGATTACAGTAACCAGCAATCTTATCTTCCAACTGCTGAATGTTCTCACACAGCATCTGCTCCCCCATCTGCATTTCTGCATATTCTGATTCTTTTTCTTTTCTGTGTATTCTTCTAGTCGAAGAAGCCACTTGGCCCAGTACTGGGAACAAAGCTCCGCATCCATGAGATGTGATGGCAGGTGATCCGTCTTATAGGCCACCACAATTAAGCCACACTGAACCTGGAAGAAACAGAGGGCAATTCTAGTATTGTTACAGAGGTCCAGAGTTTAGGTTCATTTCCTTCTTATCCAGGGCCAATCTTGAGCAAAAAGAACAAAGCTAGAGGCATCACACTCCTTGATTTCAAAGTACAGCCACATACCGGTTAACAACGAGGATATGTTCTGAGAATTGGGTTGTTAGGCAATTTCATCGTTGTCCAAATAACATAGAGTGCACTTACACAAACCTGGACGGCACAGCCTACCACACACTTAGGCGCTATGGTACAGCCTATTGCTCCTGGGCTACAAAATTGTGCGGCATGTTACTACACTGAATACTGTAGGCAACTGTAACACAATGGTAAGCATTTGTATATCTAAACACATCTAAGCATAGAAACGGCATGGTAAAATACAGTATAAAAGATAAAACCTATATAGGGCACTTACCGTGAATGAAACCTGCAGGACTAGAGATTGCTGTAGTGAGTCAGTGAGTGAGTGGTGAGTGAATGTGAAGGCCTAGGACATTACTGTACACTACTGTAGACTTTATAAACACTGTACACTTAGGCTACAGTAAATTAAAAAACCAATTTTTCTTTCTTTAATAATAAATTAACCTTTGCTTACTATAACTTTTTTACTTTTTTGTAATAATACTTAAGTAAAACACACATTATACAACTATATGAAAATATTTTTTCTTTATATGCTTATTCAATAAGCTTTTTTCTATTTTTAAAATTATTTACTTTTCAAACTTTTTTGTTAAAATTAAGACACAAGACACTTAGCCTAGGTCTACACAGGGTCAGGATCAGTGTAAATACAAAAATCAGTTAATAGTCACTGATTATCAAATATTATGTACTGTAATGTACATTATTGTCTGTGCTATATTTTTATATGATTGGCAGTGCAGTAGGTCTGTTTGTACCAGCATAACCCTAAACACATAAGTAATAAGTTATGCTATGGTTGAAATCACTAGGCATTAGGAATTTCTCGGCTCCATTATAATTTTATGGGACCACTGTTGTCTATGTGATCTACGGCTGACTGAAACATTGTTATGCGACACATGACTGTGTATCATAAAGGTACTGTAATCAAATACCATGTTATCAGCATAAAAACAGACACATATACCAATGGAACAGGATGGGGAGCATGTATTTACAGTCAATTTTTTAACAAAGGAAAGCTGGATATCCACTTACAGAAGAATGAAATTTGACCCTTATCTCACACCACATACAAAAATCAACTCAAGGGCTGGGCACGGTGGCTCATGCCTGTAATCCTAGCACACTGGGAGGCCGAGGCGGGCGGATTGCTCAAGGTCAGGAGTTCAAAACCAGCCTGAGCGAGACCCTGTCTCTACCAAAAATAGAAAGAAATTAATCGACCAACTAAAAATATATATACAAAAAATTAGCTGGGCATGGTGGTGCATGCCTGTAGTCCCAGCCACTCGGGAGACTGAGGCAGAAGGATTGCTTGAGCTCAGGAGATTGAGGTTGCTGTGAGCTAGGCTGATGCCATGGCACTCACTCTAGCCTGGGCAACAAAGTGAGACTCTGTCTCAAAAAAAAAAATCAACTCAAAATTAAAGACTTAAATGTAAGACCTGGACCTGTAAAACTACTGGAAGAAAATGGGGAAAAGCTCTGCAACACTAATCTGGGCAATGATTTTCCAGATAGAACCCCCAAAGCACAGGTAACAAAAGCAAAAATAGACAAATGCATCAAATTAAAAGGCTTCTGCATGGCAAAGGAAACAATTAAGAATGAAGAGACAACACATGAAATGGGAGAAAATATTTGGAAACCATACATTTGATAAGGAACTCAGACAACTAAATAGCAAGAATACAACCCAATTTAAAAATGGGCAGCAGGGCATGGTGACACTAGCCTGTTGTTCCAGCTACTTAAGAGGCTTCGGTGACAGAGGACTGCTTGAGGCCAGGAGTTTGAGGCTGTAGTGTGCCATGATTGTGCCTGTGAATAGCCACTGCCATTAATATGGTTAACATGTCCATACTACCCAAAGCAGTATGTGGATATCTGTTAGAATAGTTATTACTTTTTAAAAAAGACAAAAAGATAGTAAGTGTTGGCAAGGATGTAGAGAAAAGGGAACCCTGGTACACTGTTGGTGGGAATGTAAATTAGTATAGCCATTTTGGAAAAGACTATGGAGGTTGCTCAAAAAACTAAAAATAGAACTACTGTTTGATCTAGCAATCCCACTTCTGGATATATAGCCAAAGAAATTGAAAACCCTATGTTGATGAGACATCTGCACTCTCATATTCATCAATGGATAAAGAAAATGGGGTATACATACAGAATGAAACACTATCCAGCCTTTAAAAACAATGGAATTCTGGCATTTTTGACAACATGGGTGAACATGGAGGACATTATGCTAAGTGAAATAAGGCAAGCACAGAACGACAAAAACTTCAAGATCTCACTTATATATAGAATCTAAAAAAGCTGAACTCAGTAGCAGAGCCAGTATGATGGTAGTTACTAGAGGCTTGGTGGGCAGGGGGAGAAGAAAGGGGAGATGATAGTCAAAGGGTACAAATATTCAGTTAGGCAGGTGGAGTAAGTTTTAGTGATCTGTTGCATAGCATAGTGACCACAGTTAGTAATAATGGACTGTATATTTCTAAACCATTAAAAGAGGCTAGACATGGTGGCTCACGCCTATAATCCCAGCACTTTGGGAGGCCAAGGTGGAAGAATCACTTGAGCTCAGGAGTTCAAGACCAGTCTGGGCAACAAACCAAGACCCTGTCCCTAAAAAAAATTTTTTTAAACTTAGTTGGATGTGGTGGTGCACACCTGTAGTCCCAGCTACTCAGGAGGCTGAGGTGGCAGGATCACTGGGGCCTAGATGTTACAGTGAGTAGGTTTTAAAAGCTCTCACCACCAAAAAGTGGTAAGTAGGTGAGGTGACAGGTATGTTAATTAGCTTGACTTAATCCTTCTACATGTAAACATATATCAAAATATTATATCCCATAAATATATGCAATTATTATTTGTCAATCAAAAAAAATTTTAAATTTTTAGTAGCATAAACTCAAAATTGCAATAGACAGTTTACAAATTGCTCTTAGGCAAATGAAAAGATGCTCAGCCTCCTCACTTACACAGACTGAAAATACAATGCTATCAAAATTACCAACATCTTGTTAAAGGTGTTCACAAATCAGCACACTCACATCTTTTATAATTTAAAATGCACATACTCTTGACCCAGCAATTTCCCTTCTAGGTAAGCACTGGGAGAACAATGGCTTGATATCCTGGGTGTAAGTGAGAAATGCCTGGGAGATTTAAGAAGTATTCGTGTCCAGGTCTACTTCAAACCAGTTCAATTTATTCCAACTACATTTATCGCCCATCCAAATCAATAAACAAATGCATCTGCCCAGAGAAGCTCTGTAGTATACAAGGAAGCATATTGACTGCAGCATTGTTTGTAATTGTGAAACATTTTGATAGAAATAACCTAAATGTTCCCAATAGGGAAATGGATATGGCTCATTCAAAGGAATACCACACACCAGTCAAGAGGAGAGAAGTGGGTCCAAACAGTAGAGCTAACACCTATTCAATAGATAGTATACATTTTAAAACATCTATTGAATAGATAATATGCATTTTAAGCACTGTCCAGGGAATATCTCATTTGATCTTCACAACCACCCTATGAGATAGGTACTATCATTTGTCTTATTTTACAGATGAATAACCTGAGGTACAGAAAGATCAAGTAACTAGCCTAAGCTTAGATGAAAAGCCAGAATCTTATCCTAGGCAGTCTGGCTCCTGAGCTCAGTACCTTAACAGCTTTGTGATACTGTGTGCCTACAGATTTCTACATATTGTGACTCTCACAGTTCTGAGAGTAACAATACATAAGTGCTGTGTGCAGTATGTGTATTATACATAGTGTGGTGTGTGTTAAAGAGGGTAATAAATAGACTAAAAGGACATGGCACCAAATTTACAACAGTGAATGCCTTTGGCCAGGGGATTGGGAGAGAAGGGAGGAGGTGACTCAAGGAAGTTGAGCTTAATTTGTAAGGTATTAATTTTTTTTAAAAAAAGAAGCAAATATGACAGTGTTATTAACTAATAACTCTGGGTAATAGAAAATTATTAAAACAGAAAAGAATGTTACAGATCTATATAAACTAATAAGGAAAGATGTCTAAAATACTCTAAGTGGAAAAAAGCAGGGTATAGCATCTGTGTTAAGAAGTATAGGTGGGGAACAAATGATTATACATACAGTTATAAAATATCTCAGGAACACAAAAACCTTCTAAACAGAAGTTAAAAGCAGAGGGGTGTGGGGGATTCACTTTTAATTGCTTGAATTAGCAAAGTGCATACATTATCCATTAAATTTCTTTTAAATTTCTAAAATGTTAAGTTTCAAAAATGTTCATATTGTCAATGTTGATGCTCTGATTTAAAGAACAAAAAAAACAAATAAACAGCAGTGCTATGGACATATAATCCCTATGAAAAGCATATGGTGTCAGGAGCTTCTTGTAGGCCTTGGGTAGAAGTGATTGTATGGCTCCCTTGGTAATCTAAAGGGCAGCCCAAAACAGCCTATTACATTTCTTGGCACACAGGGCTCTTCTCAGATAGGAAGCTATTATGGCATAAAACTGATAGGTGGTTCTAAAATAGTTTCCAGACTAATAAATATTCTGTCAGTTTTCTTTAACTACAGCTCCAGGATTTACACACACAGATTTTTCTCCCCATCCTGTTCTTGTTGCTCCCTTGCTTTATTTGTCATAGGGACACCTCCGGGTTACAGCTACCCTTGGAATCTGGAGTACTGGGAAAAACAGTAGCACAGCAGCAAATTAAAAAATTGCAAGTCCCAGGATGCTCAAACTGAAATGAAGAAAGAAAAGAAAAGAAAAAAAAAAAACACTGCAGGAAGCGTTAGTGAGTTCAGAGTTCCTATCCATGTCAACCATTGCCTGGAAGCCAGGAAAAGACGTGATTTTCAAAACCAACAGTTCATGATACAATCTTTAGGAAAACAGGAAAGAAAGAGCAGAAATTATGGATCATATGCCTGGTATCTTGCTTGGGAGGAAGGGAGGAAGCACACCAGGCTGGAAAACAGGCCATGCTAGGGATATTGAAAAGTATACCTTTTCTCCACCAAACAGTTTAATTTTGGAATATTGGTTGACAAGGATTGTGTGGCTCTTCCCCCTGTATCTGTCCTCACCTCCTGCCCCGTACCCAATTGTTTTACCTGTCACTTAGGTTTTGACTGGAAAGACACAGGGGCAGCAGTATCTACAGGCATTCCTTAAAGCAGAAGTTAAGAGGAAAACGTACATTTTGACAGGCATCTGTCCCGACCTGCACTAATTCACCTCCATACTGTGATGGAAATAATCTCATACTTACTGATACTCAGCCACACAGTCCAGCAGACCTATATACTTTAAGGTTTCATGTTGAACGGCACTTTCAAGAGCTCGAACTCCACTGATATCTTTCAGAATATGCTGGACGCTTTCGACATAACCAGATTTGAGATTTTCATCTGTCTCTTTTAAGTCTCTCTGGGGTGAAAGTATCCTTTCCAAGGCTTCATGGAACCGTTTCCCTTGTAAAAAGATGTCTGAAAAGAAAAGAGTGGAAAAGAAGGGGGAAAAAAAGCCAAACAGAGCTAGTACTAAAAAACAGATATCAAAAAAACCTCTGAATATAAAATTAAAATTTTTAGGTAAAATTATATAAATATATAATAATATATAAACAATTATAAAGATTATATAGTTTATAAAAATGATAATAAAGAAAAAACGTTTGAATTACACAAGCTATTGACAACCCCTAAGAAACCAAAATTTAGCCTTTGTGAAACCTAAGCACTCTTTGAAATCTAAAGGTATTAGAGTAGTTTAGACAAGATGCATTAACATGAAGTATTTCTACTAGAATTAGGCCAAAGCTACAACTAGATGTTATAGATCTAGGAGCTGTAAGATCACACCTAGTTTATGGTTTAAATATCTAATTTAATAAGTTAACTGGTTGTGATAAAAAAAATCAATAGAAATGTAGAGAACTGTGCTTCTCTTTATGGTTCTTTTTTAACCACAACTTAATTACAAACATAGGTGGGAGAATCCTTTTACTAATAGGATTAGTGATAAGCAAGGAATGAAAGTCAAGGCACATACAAATTAAAAACAATGCATTAGATATCACGATTTGGAGTGAGAGGAAAATATGATATTCTTCTGCACTTTTTTTAAAATGTTAGAACGGCCTGAGATGGTTGCTGTGCCCTCAATTTTTTTCCTTTATACATTTCTAAGAAAAGGGAACACAAACAGATTCAATAAATGCAAAAAATACTATATATTCACTTGTTTCTTGGTAAGGGAAGGAAAGGAACGGGACACATTGTTACGCTAACCAGTGGCCTCAGTGCTTTCAAAACATTATTTAATTTTCAAACACATCAACCTAGCAAGAGAAGGATCATTACCCCTATTTTAATGAATTAGGCCCTGTGGGCTTATGCAGCGCTGTTAATGGGCCTAAAAGCAAAACGCTGGACAGGCAGCCTGGCACCAGAATGTGTTGTTTCCAGTCCAACACACATTAGAGCAAAGATGCAAACTCAGACACTAACATTTAGATACACACAGAATCAGAGGAGGAAGCACACATGCTTAGAGACAGACCCATAAAAAAGGAGGAAAACAATGCATTTAATGAGGTAATATTAAACCATATTACCTATGTCAAGTATTTTTTACAAAGATTTTGAAAAGTCAGTTATATCACTGGCAAAAAACTGAATCTCTTCTGGGAAATTACTTGAAGAGTTAAATAAAATTCAACTTAGGAACTAAGTCATTCTATTCCAGATTTACTTGGTTCAGTTGGAATCATTAACACATAAAATATCTACAAGAAATTTAAGACTGATAGAATTAAACCCTAGGGAAAAGTGCAATATTCATCTATAAAGTCGCTTCAAGAAGCAGAAGACAAACATGTTAAAAACAGGAAGCAAAAAAGTTTTTTTATCAACTGACATGCACAGACAATTCATTTCCCACTACAAACTTTACATTAGAAAATAAACATACATTTTCCTATAGTGTAATTTTATTTTAGTTAAAAATAAAAGGTTGCAGTGAGCTATAATGAAGCCACTGCACTCTACCCCAGGTGACAGAGGGAGACCCTGTGTCCAAAAAGAATCAGTATAGGAAAAAAGTTAAAAAATAAACCTAGCCCTGTCCACTATGATCAACACAAATACAGATCAGAGTAAATCAGACTTTCTCATTCTTGCCAATCTTCAAAAGGTGAACTGCTGCTTGGGAAACTGCTCAGGATTTAGAAGAATGCCAGCTCTGGGCACATCTTCTGGCCTTTGACAAGACCAGGAAAAAAGGAATTTATTGATCCAATATTTTTCAGGTTACCTCTCCTGACCTATTAACCAATTTAGTCAGTTATATGTTTTTTCTCTTTTTTTGGCCATGACTCTAATCTGTGATTGTTCCCTTTATTTACTTTTTTAAAGCGATTCTGCTCATTTCTTAAGGTTAACTCAGTTAATTGAGAGACAGGGCACAGCCCTAATCTAGATCAACAAAGTTGACTCTATGAAAAAGCAACGCAGTTTTCTCAGGGCCTGGGCTATTAGGGCTCACTCACATTCCAAGCAGAAATTCCTCTATCGATCTAGAGGGCCTCGGGCATATTTCCTTTGTGCTAAAATCTAGAGACCCTATGGTCCCACATGTCCCAGCAGGCTTCTGCCTTTACATTTCTTTTCAGTAATTTCACCTGTGACATTCCAGATTTAAGGAAAAGCAAAACAATTTATGAGGAAATTATCAATTCTAAATTCTAGTGGTAGGAATAAAAGCTACGATGCCATTAAAAGGTTTTTATGCTGCTTGCTTAGAAAGTAGAGAATAAAGAGCTGGGCATAGTGGCTCAAGCCTATAATCCTATAAGCATTCTGGGAGGCTGAGGCATGAGGATAGCTTGAGCCTAGAGGTACAAGACCAGCCTGAACAAGAAGAGTGAAACCCTGGCTCTCCAAAAAAAGAAGAAAAAAAATTAGCTGAGCAACTAAAAATAGAAAAAATTAGCTTGGCATGGTGGCTTGTGCCTGCAGTCCCAGCTATTCTGGAGACTGAGGCAGAAGGATCCCTTGAGCCCATGAGTTTGAGGCTGCTGTGAGCTAGGCCAATGCCAGGGCACTCTAGCCTGGGCAAGAGTGAGACTCTTTGTCTCAAAAAAAAAAAAAAGTATAGTTTGGTGGTTGTTACTAATCCTTAAAAGCCAATTAGCCCTTGCATGTTGTCCTTGGCCCATTCAGCTGAGGAACATTATAAGGAGCTAAGTCCTAACCTTGACCATTTTTACCACATCCTATACCACCTACATATATTATTTTTTAAAAAAAATTTGACATGTTTAATATGTTACATTCTTACATGCAGTTTTGTTTAAGGTGCTTGAAAATAAGTACACTAGTCTTAAAATGAAAACAGAAATGTTTTATGTACCACTAGGGGTACGTGTACTGCTCTCTGGGAAGCATGGGCTAAGGAATGATAGATGTAAAACTTAGCTTTAACTAAAGACACCTATATAGGCCTTATGGGATCAGCTAATTCACCTGTATCAATGGTCTTTTTTTAAAAATAGAATCTCTTCTCCTCACTTGTCTAAGTTAGTAAATTAGAAGTTGAAGGCTGAAATTTATTCTCAGATCCTTATCAAGAGCATTTGATTATCTCAATTTACCAAGATCTAAATACAGATGATGTGTTCTGTTGCCAGGGTCTTTAAATTTATCAGTTTACACTCATAAGTAGAGCAATGCGTATTTATTTACTAAATTCAGAACAGAATTCGTAGCAAAAAACCAGAATTCTGTTTTCAGGTGACTTTTTTCCATAATCAAGAAAAACAAGCAATTCTAATATTAATTTTGTAGCTTATAAAACAAATTCATTTTATGCATCATTTAATCAAATTATTTGATCTCTGTGCTTCTTTCATCTGTAAAATGGGGATAATACTATCTGTGCTTCATAGGACTGTCATGAGGTTTAAGTGAGTTAATACACATAAAGTGCTATTTAATGCTAATTACCATTATTTGAAAGCAATTCTTCACTAGTAAGTTTTAAAAAATACCTCATACTTTTGACACCAGTGTTCAATATTCTAGAAAATAGTGACTATACGGAACTAGAATTTAATTACTTGAAGTATATTCTTTAAAGCCATTTTCTCCCAGTTCCAGAATCATTCGCTGTTTCCACCTCTCCAAATAGAAAATCTGTTGTTTTGTCATGGTCTCCTGAAGGATTCGGGTCACGCTCGGTACCACATTCCTTTGCAAAGGGATTTTCAAAGGAATTGAAACATCGCTTGTATCTGGTTTAACATTTCTCTCTGGATTGAAGATAGGAAACCAATTTTGTGGAACTCTTGATTCCTCTTGTTGTTTTGGGGGTTTTTGCTTACTCACAGGTCCATATAGTAAAGCATCTTCATCGAACAGTGATTCTGGGGTGCGGGCAAGGCCTCTGAATGACAAGACAGACTGTACTACATGAGAGTATTTTTCTTGGTCCACTTCTTCATATGGGTTCATTTTTTTGTTTCGGCCACATGAATAACAGGAAGTAGAGAAATGCACAAGGGCAGCTGGTTCCACTGAAAACCGCTTTGAACGTCTGAGCTGCCTGCAAATGGTCTGAAATGCCTTCATCTTTAGATTTGTTTTCACTTCTTTCTAGTCTTTTTGCAATGTCGAGGACTGTTTTTTATTTTTGTAATCCTATTAAAGAGAAAACCATCAAAGTGAAAGCCATATCAGAATGATATCGCACATCAAAACTGTATTTCATAAATTTTTTGGACATAGCTATTTTCCAAGATTCTCATCAATACTGGAAGCACCAGCACTTATTAAATGCGAATTAGGTCACGCCTGTAATCCTAGCTCTTGGGAGGCCGAGGCGGGCGGATTGCTCAAGGTCAGGAGTTCAAAACCAGCCTGAGCAAGAGCGAGACCCCGTCTCTACTATAAATAGAAAGAAATTAATTGGCCAACTGATATATATATATAAAAATTAGCCGGGCATGGTGGCGCATGCCTGTAGTCCCAGCTACCCGGGAGGCTGAGGCAGAAGGATCACTCGAGCCCAGGAGTTTGAGGTTGCTGTGAGCTAGGCTGACGCCACGGCACTCACTCTAGCCTGGGCAACAAAGCGAGACTCTGTCTCAAAAAAAAAAAAAAAATGCGAATTAGTAGACTGCTTGGGGCAAGACGTCCCCAATCTTTAATCTTAAGAAATGTGACGCCAAGGAAGGGAGGCCTGTGCGTGAGACACAGAACAAAACCAAGGAGTGGGTCCTATAGCTGCCATGGCAGTCACAGTTAACAACCGATCGGTAAACAGCAGGTTCTTTGCTAAATATTCTGTATAGATATTTCTCATTGATCCTCACACTCTTTAATGTAGGCACTATTATAACCCCGTTTTACAGACGGAGCTGGCAAGAGGCGGTCAGCAGGACCCACCTTCGCGATCCCCACAAAGTTGCCTCCCGCTCCGCCGTAGGTGTGGAGCCCTGGGTCGTACAGGACGGCCGTGGCCCCTGTACAGAGCGGGAGTATGGATTGGGGAAAAGACGGCTTAAATAGAAGCCTAGACTACAGCAGGGGTCGGTACCTCAAGAAACCACCAAGCTTCGCTTAACTCCCAGCGTATGAATCACCTCTCGGGACCCGTACTTTCATCCGTCCCGCGCTTTGGGCTTGAGTAACACAAGGCGTCCCGGCATGCACTGCGGCGCTCAGGCTGGAGGCCCTTGCTTGTTCCCCTGTGGGTTTGCGCGATGGGTAGGGAGTCCCTCAGGCGGAAGCGCGGACGCCTCCAAATCGCGCCCTTTTGTTCTCACGAGATCTTGAATGTCACCGCTCATCGCCATCTTGGACCCGGGTTGAATAATAAATTATCCCGCGCTGAAGCGCGGTCTTCCTCGAGAAGCGCCTCATCAGGATAGTGTCGTGGCTTTGCGTCCCCGTAGCGGTCCTGCTATCGGCGTTCTCCGCATGGTGCGGAGCAAGGGTAGGCCCCGCGTTGCATCTTTGCCCGGCTCCAAGATGGACGGCAGCGGGGACGGGGAGGCCGCTCTGGGGGAGCACGTGGCGCCCTGCTCGCCAGCTCCCGGGCTGCTGGGATGGTGGCGGAGTCCTGAGGCCTCCTGCCGCCGTCGGGCGGGGAGGCCAACGGAGGCGGGGCTGTGGCCGCCCCTGAGAGGCGCCCTGGCGGCGGCGGTGCCGCCTCTTCCTTCCTCGCACAGCCAGGAGGCCCCTGCTCGAGTCCCGCGTCGCCATGGCCGCGGTTCCCGAGTTGCTGCAGCAGCAGGAGGAGGATCGCAACAAGGTGAGCTCCGTCCTCCCCGCCTCAGGCTCCAGGACTGGAGGCCCCGCCAAGCTCCTGGACCCCTACATTCTCCTGCCCTTGTGCAGGGCCCTGGCTGCTCGCGGGCTCCTCAAACGCGGGAAGCACCCGCGAGACCCCGAGCATCCTGCGGGATTACATCCTTCCCGAAGGCTGCCTCAGGCAGCCCCTGCGCACCCTCCTATTTTGCTAAGGAGGGAACCAGGGACCGAGATTTTACTCAGAAGCCTTCACCCCGGTGCCCAGTACCGAACGGACGCTCGGCCAGTCTCAGGCTAATCCCTGGGGAAACCAGAATGTGTTATATTAAACCCTCTTAAAACTTACTTTGGCATCGTGGTGTCTGGTAGGCGAAAGTGAAATCCGCTTAACATGCAATAATCGACAGAGTTTGGGTTTTTGCCTCCAAAATTTCCTGCTCCCTTCCCCGCTTTGAGAAAACGATCTTTTTGGCCCAAACAACTGGGGAAATTCCACCAAGTCATCTACTTGAAGCATTTTTCTTAGAACTTCATAAATGTTAAACGCGTCTTTGTAGGAGTTGTGTAATTTTTAGTAGGTGGTCAAATACTTACTTAACTTGGTATTTATTTTTAAATCTTGTCTATTTATGTAAGTTATCCTGAGGCCACATATATCTAAAAGTTTATTGTGCAGTAAACCGTGGTTACGATTGGGCGTGTTGGTTCAGGCCTGTAATCGTAGCACTCTGGGAGGCCAAGATGGGCAGATCGCTCAAGGTCAGGAGTTCGAAACTAGTCAGAGCAAGAGGGAGACCCCCGTCTCTACTAAAAATGGAAATTAAGTGGCCAACTAAAAATATATAGAAAAAATTGGTCGGGCATGGTTGGGCATGCCTGTAGTCCCAGCTGCTTGGGAGGCTGAGGCAGGATTGCTTGAGCCAAGGAGTTCAGGGCACTCTAGCCCTGGCAACAGAGTGAGACTCTGTCTCAGAAAAATAAATAAATAAATAAATAAATAAACTGTGGTTACCATAGTCGATTAAAAATTTAGTGACAAGTCTTCGTTCTTTTATTGGTCCTTTAAATTTAAAGTCTTGTTAGTTTTGCTATGATACAATTTGTGAGCCACAACCCTGTGTGCAGAATCATCAACATGAAAGTCATTTTTTTGACAGAAAAATTAAAATCTAAAAGTACAGGGCTGTCTCAAATTTAAGTAACTTGGAACCATCTTAAAAATTTACATCTTTTTCAAAGTCAAAAGCACCATGATAGAAACTTCATCTAGTGGGTAAAAACCGAAGTTCCAAAGTGGCTAGACTATTCCAACAAGAAAATCATTGTTTTGTTAGTTGCTGAAATAGTTTTGTACATGGGCGATCTTGGTTGGGATATCTCTTCAAAAGTTGGACATTTTTTACTAAAACTGAAGGTGAGAACTTGAGACTACTATTCTTTAGGTAGTTTTTTTTTAATAATTCTTTTTTTTCCAGACCTGACAGTTGGGTACATCTTTAGGTAGTTTTCTCCCTAAAGTGTAGATACTGGATAGGAATTTAATAGCAATTTGTTTTTCTTATTTTCTGGTGTATTCTTCCTTCTAGCTCTCTTATTCCAGAATCAGCTACATACAAGCACTTGATTTTTCTCAACCTGCCTCCTTATTTATTTATTATATTTATTTTTTATTTTTTTGAGACAGAGTCTCACTTTGTTGTCCAGGCTAGAGTGAGTGCCATGGCGTCAGCCTGGCTCACAGCAACCTCAGACTCCTGGGCTCAGCAATCCTACTGCCTCAGCCTCCCAGATAGCTGGGACTACAGGCATGCGCCACCATGCCCGGCTAATTTTTTATATATATATTTTTAGTTGGTCAATTAATTTCTTTCTATTTTTGGTAGAGACGGGGTCTCGCTCAGGCTGGTTTTGAACTCCTGACCTTGAGCAACCTGCCCGCCTCGGCCTCCCAAAGTGCTAAGATTACAGGCATGAGCCACCGTACCCGGCCTTCCTTATTTATTATATTGGGTTTTTTTGTTTGTTTGTTTTTGTGTGTGTTTTTTTGACACAGAGTCTCACTCTTTTGCCTGGGCTTATGATTTGGAACAGAACTCACAGATCTGTTATGACCAGAAGCTTAATTAAAATCAGAGTCACTGAAATTCATTCTGCTCACCACTTGCCCCCTGTGTAGGGGCTTCACAGTTCCTAGAGGAGAGGAAGAAGAGCCACCAGTCAAATAGTTACCAGCACCTCCACCCAGGACATTTTCAGAGGTGGGTGGAGGTCAGGATCCTGGAACTGGAAGGATGAGCCTGTAAAAGCTTTCATTTTTGCTGTTGTTTGGATGGTTTTCCTGTCCAAATTGTAACCCAACATCATGCCAGTACTTTCTCTCTGTAGAATAAATTATTGTCCTTGTTCAAATGGAGAAACTGAGGCAGAGAACGCTAACATGGATGGGCATTGTGTGCCTCCATATGTGATACCCCGAGAAGGACACCACATCGCCTGGATAGTATTTCCATCGAGAATGGATAACTTGGATCTAATCGTGAAGAGATTCCAGACAAATGCCAAAAGAGGTATGTTCGATTAAAAGAAAAGTTTGGTTGTATTCTTCAAAAATTTCAATGTCCTAAAAGACAAAGGATATTACCGAGTGAATTGATAAAATGGAATACTCAGGGTAGAATAGCTAAAAGTATATTTTATCAAAGTTGATTTTAATGAAGTTGGTAACTTTAGTATGATCATGTAAGATAATTCCCCAATTAAGAAATACTCATTGGCTGGGTGCGGTGGCTCACTCCTATAATCTTAGCACTCCGGTAGGCTGAGGCGGGCAGGTCTTTTTTGAGCTCAGGAGTTTGAGACTGGCCTGAGCAAGAGTAAGCCTCCGTCTCTACTAAAAATACCGTGTTTACCTGAAAATAAGACAGGGTCTTATATTTATTTTTCCTCAAGAAGTACGGTACAACAATCTACATTTATTCAAATATAGTTAAGTCATCTTCTGGAACATCATCATAACTCTCCAAACCCCAAATTCCTTCCTGAATTTCTTGCGACTCTATTTCCTTTAGAACCATTGGCCCCAGTCTCTCATGTTGAACAATAGAGCTCTTGGGGCAGATGAGAAAGGCTGCTCCACAAAATGCATGGATTACGCAGATATGCTGCATAGCCACGCCTATCACTAGGTCTTATTTTGGGGGTAGGGCTTATTTTTGGGGAAACACCGTAAGAAGAAATTAGCTGGACAACTAAAAATATATAGAAAAAATTAGCCGGGCATGGTGGCGCATGCCTGTAGTCCCAGCTACTCTGGAGGCTGAGGCAGAAGGATTGCTTGAGCCCAGGAGTTTGAGGTTGCTATGAGCTATAGGCTGCTGCCACGACACTCACTCTAGCCTGGGCAACAAAGTGAGACTCTGTCTCAAAAAAAAAAAATCTTTCTTTCTGTTTGGATTCAGGAGGTTGAAGGAGCTTGGAGTGACAGATTAGTGAAGACAGGACTGGAAAAGTTTTTGAACAGTACTTAACCGTCTCCTTCTATATCCCCCCTCCCAGTGCCAATGAGCTGTCTAAATAATAGCCAGCCAGTCCTAGACTCTTTGTGGATTAACTTTGTCCTCTTTTACACCATCTCCATACAAAGTATTATGTATTTGTATTATATATCTTATTGCCTGTCCCCTCTACTAGAATGTGAGTTTTATGAGGGCAGGGGTTTTTGACAGCTTTGTTCATTACTGTATTCTCAGTGCTCCTAATAATGCCTGGCTTATAGTTGTCCCTTAATATAAGTATTTGTGGGGTGAATGAATTTAGAATAGATGGAAGGCTAGAACCTCATCAAATCACCAGAATTAATTCCAACCAGGTTAAATAGTGGAAATTTTTAAAAGACCACAACAAAGTCAATGAAGTTAAGTAACTTTTGCCCTTGTGGAGGAGATAAGAGAGTTTAAGTTTAATAATAATAGCCAACGTTTATTTTCCATGTACTGTGTGCCAGGCCCTGTGCTCAGTGCTTCATATATTCAACATTGACAATGTGGATACTAACACAGCTCTCACATTATTGATGGGGAAACTGAGGCTCTAAAAAGGCATGTGATTGCCCAGTTATATAACTTCTATTAAGCTAAATGTGTTAGGGCTGGGATTCATTCAAGCCCAGGTCTTTCTGATGCCAGTGTTGAAGTTTTGTGCTCTGTCCAGTACTACACCACTAATCCTCAGTGTGCAGGTAAATGAAGAGAATTTCCCTTATGATAAGATAAGATGTGTAGCCTGTTGATACAATAAGCAAATCCTAATGGAGAAAAAAATTAGAAGCAACTATTCAGGGCATAAAATAGACAGCATCCTTTACC